TTTTCATTACTTTTTAATAACATCTATCTCTTCATTAATTTTTTCACTCAGATCATGAATTGTTTTCCTTATTTTGTTGAATTATATATGTATATTTTCTTGTATTTCACTGAATTTTATGAAGATTATTCTTTTGATTTTTTTTTTTTTGCATTCCATAAATTTTCTTTTTTTTTGAGGTCTGCTAATGGTAAATTATTGTGATCCTTTGGAGGCATCATTTCTTTTTTAACTTTTTAATGTTTCTCATGCTGCTACATTATCAGTGCATCTGGTGGAATAGTTACCTTTTTCAATTTACTGGAGTAGCTTTCATAATGAAAGAATTATTACTATAAATGTGTCCTATGATGTCAATTGGGCAGGGGTACCCTGGCTTTGGTTCTGGGTAAGCACAATAGTGTGCTTTAGTAGCTTCTTCAGCTATAATCCATATTAGTAGTGTTTGTGAGTGTCTCAGTGGGTTAGACTGTAGTAGTAGTGGTGTGGCTTTGCCAGGGATGGGCTCACTGGACTGGTTCTCAGGCTAGGAGTGTGCATGTGCATGCAATGTGGCAGCAGCATGGATACTTTTGGAGTAGTCATTTGTACACAACATTCTTTCTACCAGGCCACATTTCATTGAAACATGTATTGGCATCTAAACCAAACTCAATTAATCAGAGTCCTTCTCTGGGAATATTATTAGTGAAATACAATGTAGTCTAAAACACTTTACCAGCTGAATAAAAAATATGAAAAAATGTATACCGAGTAAAACTAAAATATATGAAACCTATATTTTGTACAAGGCCATGACCCCTGCCATATGAACTGAAGAAGCAGAGAAGAAAGAAAAGAAAGAAGCCCCTGGACAGAGTAAGAAGGATGAGAGATGAAGAAAGGCCAATTCTCAGTTGACTGGTAGTTTGTGTGTGTGTGTGTGTGTGTGTGTGTGTAAAACATACCCAAAGCAGAAGACTTTATTCCCTACCCCTAAGGTTGCTTTTTTCCAAATCTTCTCCAGTACCATCTGAGGTATCCAAAAACAAGTAAATTTTGCCAATACAAAATAAGCCTTTGTACAGAAAAAACATAACAATTTCCCCAAATGTGGGAGGAGTAATTTGTAGGAAATAAAATGAACAATAAAAAAGTAATCTGATTATTCATGATTTTTTGGAATGTTAATAATTGTAACCACAGATAATCCCTAGGACAGTCAGTATTGCTGAGCCAATATAACATTTTTCTTTTATCTTTAATGGGTTCCTTTTAGTGAGGCAGGACTATGTGACTAGTTTTAACCAATGTACTTAAGCAGTAAATGTCCATGTGTAACTTTGTAGTCTTTTATCCTCTGCTCTGGTGACTGAGAAGTTTGCATGCTCCCGGCAGTACAGCTATTAAAATGGCGGAGCTTCTTAATCCTGGGTGCCTGAATGACTACATGAAGCAGAACCCCCATCAGTTTGCCTGAGTCAAGCATTGTGAACAATAAAATCTTTTTTTGGAGTTACTTGTTGCTACAGAAAACCTAACCAATTCTGACTAATCATAACTTACAAATTAATTTTCATCATCTTTAATTTTTATAACAATTCTTTCAGGTAGGAAATATTATTCTTTTTTAACTTGAGAACACTGATGTTCTGAGAAGGTAGATTTGTTTTGGTAATTTGCACAGTTATTAAATAGCAGAGAGGATGCAAGTCCACTTTTATTATAAATTCTATGCATTTCTGCATTTACACCCCTGGTCAACAATTTCTTTAAAAAATTGTGTAGAGAAGGTAAAATAGACACTAATAATATTTTATTACTCAACCCTTAGCGTTGCCATAACATGCAAATGAAATTATGACAATGTTCTGTAAGATTTTTTCTGAAGCAGCCATTAATTAATTTATACTTTTCTGAGGTATAATTGATATACCAAAAACTATACATATTTAATATATAAAATGTAATGAGTTTGGTCATATTCTTACATATAATACAATTACGAAAATCAAAATATCAAACATATTGATCACCTTCAAAAGTTTCCTTTTATTCCTTTTCCTTTTTTTCTGTGGGAAGAAAAATTGCATGAGATCTACCCTCTTAATAAACTTTCAAGTGTGCAACACTGTATTGTTAACTATAGGTTCTAGGTTGTGCAGCAGATCTCCAGGACTTATTCCTCTTTTATTACTGTAACTTCATACCCACTCAAAAACAACTGCTGATTTCCCTTTTCCTTCATGCTGTGGCAACCATCATTGTATTTTCTGCTTCTGTAAGTTTAAATATTTTAGATACCTCTCCTTAAGGTGGAATCATACAGTATTTTCCTTCTGTGATTAACTTATGTGACTAAGTGCATGTCTTCCAGGTTCATCATCCTGTAGCAAATGGTAAGATTTCCTTTTTTAAGAATGACTAATATTTCTTTTTTTTTTTGTCTGTATCACATTTTGTTTACCCATTCCTCTGTTGATAAATGCTTGGATTGTTTCGATATCTAGGCTATTGTGAATAATGATGCAATGAATGTGGGAGTGCAGATCTTTCTTTGATATCCTAATTTAAACTCTTTTGGACATATGCCCAAGAGTGGGACTGCTGAATCATTTGATAATTCTATTTTTAATTTTTTGTGGAAGCTCTCTACTGTTTTCCATAGTGGCTGTACCATTTAACATTCCCACAAACATGTTTCATCCTCCTGGACACTGGAACATGTCCAAGGGTTTCAATTTTTGTACATTCTCACCAACATTTGTTATCTTTTTTATGGTAGTGGCCTTCATAATAGGTGTGAAGTGATATCTCATTGGAGTTTTGATTTGCATTTCCCTTATGGTTAGTGATGCTGAGCATATCTGCTAGCCATTTGTAGGTCTTCTTTGTAGAAATGTCTATTCAGTTCCTTTGTTCATCTTTAAATTGAATTATTTATTTTATTACAATTGAGTTGCAGGAGTTTCATATATATATTTTAGCAATTAACTTCTTATTAAACATATGGCTTGCAAATATTTTTCCTATGCTTTGGGTAGCTTTTTCACTCTAATGATTATTTTCTTTGCTGTACTGAAGATATTTGGTTTGATATAGCACCACTCCTCAATTTTGGATTTTTTTAAAAACTCACTTTATTTTAAAAAGGTAGGACATGGAGCATTCATTGCTTTCTCTCAGCAGAAACAGAATCTTGAAGCCAGAAGTTGTGGTGGCTTTCTGACTTGTTTGTTTGTTTACTTATTTATTCATTTTATATTGTGGCAGAGGCAGAAATGCTTTTGAGGTCAGGTCCTTGGAGTCCAGCCTGCAGTCTGATTTCTTTAACTTTATCAGTTTGTGTTTTTGGTTTCATTATCTATGAAATTATTACCAAGACCAATGTCATAAATTTTTCTCCTATTTTTTTAAATTTTATTTTTATTTATTTTTTTATTGCATTTTAGGTTTTGGGGTACATGTGACTAACATGCAAGATTGTTGCATAGGTACACACATGGCAGTGTGATTTGCTGCCTTCCTCCCCCTCACCTATATCTGGCACAGTTTCAAATGTAATTAAAAACTTACATTTGAGTTTTTAATCTATCTAGAGTTGATTTTTGTGTATGCATAAGATAGGATCCAATGCCATTCTTTTGCATATGGACATGCAGTTTTCCTAATACTAGTTTTTGAAGAGATGGTCTTTCTCCCCAGTGTGTATTCTTGGCACCTTTGTCAAAGATCAGTTGACCATACATATGTGAGTTTATTTCTGGGCAGTGCATTCTGTTCCATTGATGTATATGTATATTTTTATGTCAGTACCATACTGTTTAAATTACTATAACTTTGTAACATATTTTGAAATCAGGAAATGTTATACCTCCAGCTTATTCTTTATAAAGATTGCCTTGGCTAACCTAGGTGTTTTATTATTTCATATACAATTTCTATTTTTCTATTTCTCTAAGAAATGCCATTGTGATTTTGATAGGAATAGCATTGAATCTGTAGAATGCTTTGGAAAAAATGAATATTTTAGTAATATTAAGCTTTCCAATTCATGAATGTGGGATACCTTTCTATTTATTTGTCTCTTCTTTAATTTCTTTCATAAATGTATAGCAGTTTTCAGTGTACCAGAAGCAGCAATATAGAAGACAGTATTAAGTGAAGCATTATGACCCTGTCCTCAAGGAGTTCACCTTCTGCTGTGGACAGTAATTATTTACTTCTATAATCATAGAGGCTATTTTTACCCGAGAAAGTAGTAGCAATTGAGACTATTTGCTACAGATCTGTCATTGTTGAGTTTGCAGACTCTGGGAATGAGTCTGAAAGCAGTAATTGAAATGAGGCAGGCACTGTGTTTAGGAAGAGAAAAAAAAAGAATTTGGAGATTCAGAATCTAGAGAATTGTTACTTAAGAAGAAATTATAGTCCTTCAGATATTAGAAACCATTTAGGAAGACATTAAAGGAAGAGTAGCCAAAAGAAAGCACCCTTTACCGAACTACTTTAATTTTTTCTGATTGGAAATGTCACTGGGTTCACAGGTTCTTTTCGTTCACTTCATAATGAGTTGGCAGGTTATCCATACCACAGAAAACACCTTATTCTTCAATTAGTACGATTTATAGCTATAATTTTCTACAAAGAGTAAAAGTCAGTATCAGTGAGCACAGTAACAAAAGAGTAAGTAAGAGCAACTGAGAAACCCAAGCATGGCTGTGTTAGGAAGTGGGGGGTTGGATGTGGTGATCAGTTCACTTATGACTATGCTACTTTTTATTTCTGTGGTGCCAGGGAGTAGTACTAGAACCCACAAAGTTTGAGAGGGCTAAAGAGAGAAGGGGGAAGAAAATGGAGGGAGAAGAAGTCATCCAAACACACATCATGAAACTTGTATTTTTCTCTAAGGACCTGCACACTTCCAGGTGCTGAAGAACGCTACCTACTGTACACTGTTGGGGGAAAGCACCATCTGGTGTTGATGTCATTGGAATATGAAGACCTGGAGAAAAGGTGGGTCACGATGAAGGACCCTCACTGAAAGCTGCATTCCTTGGAAACTGGAATTTGCCAATGACTTTTCTGAATGCAACTTTTACATCTTTGTTTCTCAGACTGTAGATCAAGGGGTTCAACATAGGGATGATTACAGTGTAAAAGACAGACACTATCTTGTCTTCCTCTGAGGATTTGTCAGAGTTACTTCTCTGGTACATGAAGGCAAGTGTCCCAAAGAAGAGGACAACAGTGGTGAGATGGGAGGTGCAGGTGGAGAAGGCCTTGGCTCGCCCACCTGCTGACTCCACCCTCAAAATGGCTCTGATAATGAGCATGTAGGAGATCAGGATAATCATGACATTGGCTAGGAACATGAATTTTGCAAAAAATAGAATGACAATTTCAGCTTGTGTCATGCTGCTGCAGGCGAGTTTCATCAGGGGTAGGAGGTCACAGAAGAAGAAGTTGATCTGATTGTCACCACAGAAGGAGAGGGTGAAGGTGCACGTGGTACGCAGAATGGCCCCTGACACCCCACAGATGTAGGCCACGGCCAATAAGACCCTGCATGTACCTGGAGTCATGGTCATGTTGTAGCGCAGTGGACTGCTAATGGCAACAAAGCGGTCATAGGCCATCACTGACAGCAGGTAACACTCCGTGCCTGCACAGATTGTGAAGAAAAAGAACTGTGCAGCACAGTGGCCATAGGAGATGACCGACTTGTCTGTGGCCAGTGTGGCCAGAATCTGAGGGGTGATTACTGAGGCATAGCAGGCATCCAGGAAGGCAAGGTGGCTCAGAAAGAAGTACATGGGGGTGTGGAGTTGGATATCCACTTGGATTAGAATAATCATGCCTACATTCCCCAGAAGAGTGACAAGATAGGAGTTGAGAAACACTAGGAAGAGAGGAACTGCCAGTTCAGGGTGATCTGTGAAGCCTATAAGAATAAACTCTGTCACAGTGCTTAGATTTCTTTTGGTCATAAGCTCAATGTAGCTGGTCAACCTGAAGAGGAGAATGAAATTGAGATTTCAGAACTCAAGGTCTTTGGTTTCTTCAGTGTCAGGTGTTAAGTAAATGTCCCAGCCTCTGCTCAGAGAGAGAAAAAAGTATTTACCATCTTAAGAGTTCACAACTGGAAGTTACTATGGAAAGCTTTTACCTGTCTCTGCATCCCACCTGAAATGGGACCTTGATGCAATCTTTCTTCAAATTCACTTGCTTATTATTGTTTGGGATATTTTCTTTAAGACCAGAGAATATCAGACTATCAAGACTGGAAGGGACACATAAGGGGTCTCTCTGTGCTAGAATACTTCCCCTAAATTGTCGTCTAGCCCAGGTGTGCTCCAGGGCTGCCTCTACGTGGCGTCTTAGGCTGTGCCTGTGTGATTCCAGGCAGGGCCATTCATACAGACATCGTGTGAATGCTGCCTCCAGCGTTGCCAGAGGTAGGGCCCTTTATGTGATGGGAGCTTTCTATCCACTCTGCCTTTGGAAAAATTCTGCCTGTTAAGAAAGCCAGATTGCTCTTTCTATACCTTCTACACATTAATATTACACTTGGTTCTGCTTGTTGGATAAACCCAACTCTTCTAGGACAAATAGTGGTGATGCCTACTTTTATCTAGACTCTTCTCCAAGTCAGACATTCCCAGCTATCTCAACAATTCCTTGTGTGTACTTTCATAATCTGTTTTTGCTCTCCTAGGAACCAGGTCATCGCCTGCCTTGAATTTCTTTTCTTGAGGGACCGTCAAAGAAGGTGATTCTGTGAAGCCATTAGGTTCATGGAGCCCTTATTCTGTGTTGAACATTTCTGCATTAACTTACTGATTCTTGCCAATAATCCTAGTACAGCTGTTAATGAGTTTCACTGTTGAAATGTGTTATCCGAGTTTCAGGAAATTAAAGTGACTTGTCAAAGAATAAATTGCAAGTACTGAAGCCAAGATTAAACAATCATATCATAACAGCAAGACATTGCTTGTATCCTACACTGGTTCTTCTTGACAGTACACCTTGTACTTTGTTACCTCTGTACTACAGAGGTAGTTCATAGAAAGGGTTCATAGTGTTCGGTAGAATCAGTTTTCTGCAGAAATCAGGTTGATTCTTCCCTTTTGGGTAGTGGAGTGAGTTCCTTTGTCAGCTACTGATTGTTCTGGGCTGTGCTTTCCAGGATGACACCCCTGGAGAGCAGGTGGAGGCTGCTCCATCAGCGATTCTAAGACTCACTAGGAGGCTGGTTGGAAACAGGTTTAGGGACTTGTTTGTGAAATATGAGGTCCTACCAGACATAGAACTTCCACAGAATCCTTCATGGCTGCCTACTGATTTTGATCCTAGGGATTTCATGGCTCATGAGCCAAAACCAAAGTCCTAGTATTCCAGACTTGGAAAGAATACCAGATTCACCAAGTTCCTAATAATGAACAACTCCACTAGTGTGTGGGAATTGGTGCATATAAAATCTACTGATTAATGTTAGCATGGGCAGGGACAACCCTGGTTCTCCTATTGCTCTCACCTCCTTTGGCCTAATGGAGGCAGATCTAATGGAAACTGAGAATGGAAGGGAGTCCCGGAGTACTGAATTTCAGGAGATGCTCAGGACCTTAAGAGCAGGAGTTTAGGCCTCTTTCTTCCAGAGCACGGCTTTTACTGTGATTCTTCTGTGCCCCCACTGTCTCCTCCTTTCTAATCCTCTGTCAAAGGAGTTTCCTATTGTTTTATTAATTTTTTTATTGCATTTTATGTTTTGGGGTACATGTGAAAAACATGCAAGATTGTTGGGGAAATGGGAGAGGGATGGAGGAGTTTCCTATTGTTTTAAAATCTTCTCTGCTTTCTCAGGAATTTGGCTTATCCTTGGCTGTGGCTCAATACCTCATGGAGGTCCATCACCTTTCGTTCTGTTGAGACAGAACAATTATTTCTGGGTTTCTTAATTCAAATACCTTGAAAAAGAGATTTTGATTTATCCAGCTGCTTTTTTTTGTAGTAGCCAGTACCTAAATTAGAACGTTGAAGGTCTGTAGCCAACCTACATATTAATTCTCTACTGTGTCCAAAGGGACCATATGTGACACAAAACATGGCTCATGCCTTCAGCCTGGTTGTGGTTGGTACGGACACAGTGGCATCTCTTCTCAACTTGTCCTTACTATGACCATGACTCATTTTGAAACTTTCTAGTATAGACATCTTGCATTGTCACTCCAATCTATTATCCTATTCTCTGACTTAATAACTCTTCCCGAGGTAGCATTTTCCATGATTATTCAGCCACAGAGTCCTTTCTTGGAGGGGGGTATGGAAATTTTGAGGTGTGTAATCTATGCTTTAGGACATACTTGACTAGCTAAACTCCCACGACTCTCTGCTGTGCCTGTCTCTGAATCATAAGATTATAAATATGGGCCGGGTGAGGTGGCTTATAACTGTAATCCTAGCACTTTGGGAGGCCGAGGCAGTTGGACCACCTGAGGTCAGGAGCTCGAGGCCGGCCTGGCTAACAAGGTGAAACCCTGTCTTATAAAAACACAAAAATTAGCTGGGCATGGATGTGTGTGCCTGTAATTTCAATTACTTACCCGGGAGGTGGAGGCTGCAGTGAGTCGAGGCTCTGCCACTGCCTGCTAGCCTCGGTGACATAGTGAGACTTTGTCTCAAAAACAACAACAACAACAACAAAAAACAAACATTATGTTTCTTGGAGCCTCTTAAAAGATTACTTCAAGTGTTTCAATATGTGAACTAAATAACCGCAGATTCAGATTTCTAAATAATCATATGCTTTACAAACTGATAGCATTATCTCACTGGTTGGTAGGATTTATGCTGTTATGATTGGTCAACCACAGCACCTTTTTTTCCCTAGAAGGGCCGTGACCTTTTAGTTTAGCTCTGGACATGTCCCACTGGACTTGCATAACTTTATTCATGCAGCCTGAGAACAGATGCTGTCATGCTCTCTCGGATTGACCTCTTTTGCCTAGAGGAATACATTCATCTGTCTGCTTTCTCCTGGAGAGTGGTAGCTACAACTTGGAATGCCTCAACCATGCAAGTCAGTGATTTTCTCAATGGGAGAACTTGCACAATAAGAACATTCCTGGAAACCCCAAGCTTATCTGTTAGTTTCTGGACCCACATATGCCTGACGCCCTACATTTGGATATGGCATTATGTCAAGCAAGCACCCGAGTGACTTGTTTCTCTTTCCAGTGTTTAGAGAACACTCATTGTGCACATGGCTGTCAGGGTGGGCTCAGAAAATCCTGACACACTGGGAGTGGTGGCTCACTATGCCCCTCCCAACACCGGTTGAAAATACCCACGAACACCCCCAGAGACCCAGGACTTACGGACACACAGAACCCTAGAGACAGAAAGGACCTTGGTGATGTGGTTCTGTGGTTTTCAGCTGTGTTTCTCAGCCTCGGCCTTCCAGGGCTGTCTCAAGGAGACACAGCAGTGACATGTGTGAAGGGAAGGCTCAGCAGGTGGGTGCTGCCATTTCAGCCTCAGAATTCTTATAAACAACGAGGTTCTTCATTTCATTTTGCTTAGAAGCAGGGCTCTACTGTTTAAAACATTTAATGCACCTGGTCTACTATATTTTCTTCATTTTGTAAAAGAGAAAATGAAGCCCAGAGAAGTGACTTTCACCCACTAAGTCAAAAGACACTCCCTCCGAAACCAGTCTTGGTGGGACCTCAACACTAGTGTCCCATTTGGTGCCTCAGGAAAGGCAACAGATTCGTGAAAGTACAAACCAGAACTAACAAGTCCAGGACGGGACCATAGGGTGGGGAGGACTGGGGCAGGACAGCCAGGATATTCAGCGGTCGGGAGACATTTCCCAGCTCATTACCTGCCTCATTGTACTCCCTCTTCCTATAATATTTATTTCCACATTATCTTCTCAAAAGGTTCTTGTTACAAATGTCTTTCTTACAAATATCACCAGCAGGGACAACCTCCCCAGAGCTGGCTGGATGATCCTCTGTTCATGCTCTGAGCACCTGGTGATGGTGTGGTGTAGAGCAGTAATAATATAACTCGATGCCAACTATTGTTTCCTGCACTTGACATATTTGTTACTGATTACAGCCTCTGCAAAGTGTGTCTTTCTGTGCCTGTTTTATGGAAGACAGAATTGAAGGTTGGGGAAGATAAGTAACTTGCCTGAAAGGCGACACAGATAAAGTTTAAATTATGTTCAAAAACTGGAAAGCACATTGAATAGTCTCTGGAATGTATTTTATTTTCAAACATATTATAATTTTAGAATTTACATTACCTCATAGGGAAAGAGCTGGTCCTTGTGCTCCTGTGAGGAACTTCTGTGAAGCACTGTTAATATTTCTCCTGTTTCCGAGTAGGTCCAAGGAGAATGAGATTGATGCTGTGAGAATCTGAAATCCATAAAAAAATGCAATTACTAAATCTTCTTCTGGCCAATTTTATGCATATGCTAGAAACCCACCTTTGAACACCCCTGCAGCAGGTAGCAGGACCGGAGAGTGTACCTGGTTTTACACAGCATTGCTGGGTAAAATTCAGAGCCTGGGACCTCAGAGTTCCTCTAGGTGCCCAGCTGTTTTGCCTTCTTGCCCAAACAACCCACTTAAGATTATCTTGTTTCTGAATCATTGAGTTTTCTGATCCAACTGAATCCTTGGATGGTTTTATCATCTTGTGTGCAACACCTAAGGTGATGCTTATATACAAAAATGATGATGTTAAATGAAAGTGAAACTCTCCCCTTTTCTCTGCAAGTCACTGTGATGATTTACCTGCCCTCAGTGGGGGTTCTGTGAGTCCACTCTTGCCTGCAAACCATTAATTAATGAATGTGACAGGGGTTCCAATTTCTGGGAGAAGCCTGCTCCCTTCAGTTAGAGCTGACTGCGGCAATATTAAATCCTCCTTTCTCTTCATCTAGGTAGGCAAACAGTGGGCCTGGGGATTAAAA